CTATTTACAAAAAAAAAAACACTTTATTTCATTCATTTTTAAATTCTAACTCAAATATCAAAGTTTGTGTGCGGGATTTTGATTTTGTCAATTTTGAACTTTGATGTATGTTGATTGTTTTTTGTGGTGTGAATCAATTTTTTTCTTAAATTTCTTGGTAATTTTTAGATTTTTACTATTTTTAACTATCATTTGGATTTTGGAGTCAATAAAGGGTATGTTTTGAAGGCAATATTATATTTTTCAATTTTATCAAATTCTCATTGATTCATGAATTATAACCTTTTATTTCCTTAATCATTTTGGCTTTTCATTTTTGCATTAAAAATAACTTTGGCTTGTTTAATCATTAATGTAAAAGTTAGAAGGCAGTGTTTTCTTAACAACTTCGATTTAAATGATCGTGTTGCATTGATTTATGTAGCTTATAAAATGAATGTCTTCTTGCTTTAATTGATCGCTTTGTTTGAAGAAATATTTGCATATGTTCTTTTGAATGGATGGTAGAGCAAGAATAGAAGATCCATCTTGGAAATATAGAACTCAAGTTAAAGTTTTAGGAGAAGGTGCAAAGAAAGGATATGTTTACTTGAAATGTATATTTTGTGACGACTATTATTGATGGTGTTGAAAGACTAAAATTCACTTGGTTTGCACACATGTAAATCCTGAAACATGTGAGAAAGTGTCAAATTAAGTAAAAAAAGCATGCCTTGAATTTTTGAAAAAATACGTTACTTCAAAAGAAGCAACGTAGAGAAATTTGAAAGAGATGATTCGAAATAATTTATATTTTAGCTCACAATATGATGATTTCAACAGTGAAAATCATTTGCCTTCTTCTGATAGAGGAACTCGAGGACCAATTGATAGATTTGTTGTGAATGTGGATCAAGATGAGAATACCATGTTTCGAAAAATTTCTCCTCCAGCTTCTACGAAAGAACATAAAAATAGAGTATGCTTAGATGTTGCAATATGTTTTTATGAGAATGGGATCCCATTAAATTTGATTAATAATTCCTCGTTAATCAATGTGCTTCGTTCAGTTGGAAATTATGGTCAAAGGAGTATGTATGACGTGCAAATTTGGATGTTGGATGAGGAGATTAATACTTTGACGAGATTGGTAGATAAAGTGAAAAAGATATCGGTTGACAAAGGTGTTTACTATAATGTCAGATGGTTGGTATGATACCTTACAAAGGAGTATACTAAATTTTCTTAGTAACAACCCTGATAAGAATGTATTTTGAAATCTATTGATGCATCAGTTTTTATAAAAATGCTCAATTGCTATTATAAATGTTTGATTAGGTTGTTGAAGAAGTTTGGTAGAGTATAGTTCAAGTTGTTATAGATAATGCAAGCACCTATAAAGCTACTGGAAGGATGTTAACAGAGAAAAGAAAACATAAAACAATTTTGGAGGTGGCGACAACAAGAAAAATAGGGGAAAAATAACAAGTTTGTTGTTTTCTGGGCGATGACAATAAGAGGAAAGTAGCAATAGTGAAGGGAGTCGATGCAAGAAAGGATGGGGAAATATATAAAATAGATAAAAACCACGAGACCAAGAAACAACCATATATATATTGAAAGCCCAAATGCTAATATATTA